AGGTTTTGTGTCTACGAAAAGCTTTGAAAGCATCAGATTTTTCTACATACAATTTTGTGCATTCTTCGTCCCAACCAGGTGTGGCTGGTCTCCTTTTAAAGGGTGCACTTGGAACTTTTCTTTTTTGTGCTTCCAGTGAGCTTTTGTAAATCAAATCGGCTAGGAATCGATATTCTTCCAATGGTGGAAGCGCATCTAATCCCACCTTATTTTGACGAACGGCCTTCTGCACTTTGTACGTATGCAGTCCCTTGCGGTCCTTGGCTCTCTGAACGAAAGACTTGGACTCCCTTACTCAATTCAAGAAAATAGCTCTAAATCGGCCAATTTAAGCGATACAAAAAAGTTTTCTTCTACAAAGTTGTTTGAAATCAGCTCAGCTATAACTTTGCCGATAAATGTATACCTTATTTTATACAAACAAAAAAGGTAAGATTTTTTTATTTTAATGATAATAAGAACCACCCTTGAATTCCCTGTCATAAAAATGAGGGCCTAACTATAAGGAACAACTTTGTAGAAGAGACTTTAAGTCTAAAGATTCAATTTCAGGCTCAAAATATATCATTCCCCCTAAATCTGCATTCTGGACCACTGTGCACTGTGGCATTACAGGAAATGAAAAGGCAGACGATCTTGCAAAACTATGTTCTATTTCTCAGTTGGCTCCGAACCATTCTGGGAATGGAAGTTAAATGCTGGTAAGAACAAAAGCGGATGATCTATTGCTTGACTGTCAGAAAGTGTAGCTCCAGTCCTCATCAAGAGAGCTCTTGTACATACACTGGGCCTAATAACTAATAACCATTTGAAGAACATTAGCCAGGTTCAAACTCATATTTTCCGCTTTATTTTTTTAATATGGAAAGCGAAACCTCGGAGCATCTCCGGTACAATTAAGGTGCATTTTATAGGTGAACATCAAAATGTCTTGATAGTGGTTGCTTAAAGCCCAGTGAAATTTGCTCTGGTAAATATAAAAACCAACCCACTCGCTCCCTTTTGATAACATATCAGTAATTTCGACAAAAATACGCGCCATCGAAAATTCTTAAATTGTCTTTAACAAATTATTTGCGAAACATCAATTTTTAAAAAGTTAGTGTATTAAAAACTAATTTTATGGGTCACCCTAGGTAACCTTTTTAAAATTTGTACCTTCAGAAAATTGCCTTAAATGAATTATTTTTAAACTTTGTAGAACATTGCGCTGGTCTATCTCCAATAAATAAATAGTTTATATTTTGCACTCAATAGCCCCAGGGGCCACCCTAATTTCACCTGCATCAAAAGATTGACACCATTAACCTAAAACTAACGGTTTAAGTGCAAACATTTTTGTCTTGAGCAGTTCTAGGCTTTTAGCGAAAAATGAGTTTTTGAATCGACCTTCTCCGATTCACATGAACATTTGAGTAATTGATTTTGCCATAATTCGGCCATTTTGAATCTTGCATAGTTTTCCAAATGAAGTCCCTGAAATTTAAAAAAAGATTGCTGCGTGAAATCGGGATTTCTGATCGAATGGACATCTGAGACAATCGACAATTTATAGGAAAAATAAAAGAAAATGTGTAATGTTTATTTTAAGTTAAAACAAATAAAAAAATCTAAAAACATGAATTTTTCAAAATGCACTTTTCCGATTTACGAAAGAAACTTTAAACATAAAACTTTTGGAATGAACGTCAGTTAAAAAATACCAAAAGTCATTTTTAACGATTTTTGGCAATTTATAGCGTCTAGAATTTTATAAAATTCTAAATGTTTGCATTTTTCAAGCGAATTTTTTAAAACATTTTTTTTAATTTTTTGTTTTTTTTTTATAGCATTTAATAACATGTTTTCTTCGACTTTGTCTTAGACGTCATTTCGATCAAATATAAAGTTTCCATGCAAAATTAATTTTTTAATTAAAAAGAAGCCACTTTACAAATTTTCCAATGCCCAAATTTTAGCAAGAATGTCATTCATTTCCCATATCAAACAACTATGCAAATATAATGAGAGAGAGAAGGATTAGTAATTTCCATTTAATTCCACTACCTTTTTTGCTTATCCTTGACAGATACGCGTATTTCGTCTACAATGTGCAAACTTCTTCAGTGTCTTGTACTAATAATAATCGACTGTCGAGACTAGTCGAGTATTAGTACAAGACACTGAAGAAGTCTGCACATTGTAGACGAAATACGCGTATCTGTCAAGGATAAGCAAAAAAGGTAGTGGAATTAAATGGAAATTACTAATCCTTCTCTCTCTCATTATACAGGTATTCCACTAAGACGCCCATATTCATCAGAATTATGCAAAGTTTCATGCAAATCGGAGATGGTCGAGTTTTTCCGACTCGTCAGTTGGCGTAGACCTGCTCTCTTCCTACATATGGCTTTGTTATCAATTCAATACCAACAATTGAAGAGGCTTCAACTCCATTTTGTAAACAAACTTTGTAAGGCCATTTTGTTACGAACCGAAGTCCGCCAACGCAAGCAAAAAAAAAATTAACAGGTAGAGGAAATCCTCCTCTACCTGATTGTGTTTTAGGATTGCTAATGTAAGTTTCGGTTCGTGAGAAAATGGCCTTACAAGGTTTGTTTACCAAATGGAGTAGCGGGCTTTTCAATTGTTGGTCTTGAATTATGAAAATGAAAAATACTTCTTTTAATAATTGATCCTATTCCTAGTTATAGTCTTGAGGACAATGTCCTTAAGCGTAAATCATTCCCCATGAGAATGTTTTAAGGATTCATCCTCTTTCAGGACATCGTTTGGAAAAAATAACAGTCAAATATTGAATTAACACTCCGAACGATACCATAAAATATCTAAATCCGGCCTCTTGGTACACAAATCCGGGCACTTCTAAAAGATGATTATCAATGCCATGCTCAAAATGGCACGTCAATTTTATCATGGCCTTATATTATCGTTCATACTTATCGGACATGTTCACTATATTGAAGACGTCACATTTAATAGAAAACGAATAGCATGGATTAACGAATAGTCCGGTATTCGGTACATTATGTTAAGGGGTATAGAAAAGAAACAGACGGAAAACACCCGGCATTAGTTCACTGCACAGTTTGAATTTCCACGGAATTGATGGTTCACGGAAACTGTGAGCATCTTTCTGGAATATATGCTCACGAGTTTTCTGCTGAATTATTCAGTGAGAAAATAGGGTACATGTCCCTAACCTGGGCCCAATAAGCAGCCACTATTTAAGAGTTGAATCATATCTCAACAAGTAATTAACCTGCCCAAGTAACATTACGAGTTTTATCGAGGATTTAAAGCATTTTACAAGTCTAAATCATGGTCTACAGAACCTTCATAAAATTAACTAATAACTGTGGAAGTGCACGTATAACACTAAAATGAGAGCCGGCAAAGCGCTACCGAAGCGTAAACCACCTTTAAAAAAACGAATGATCGAGATTTGTGCTTCGGAAAAGTCGATAAGTTAGCTATCATGACGCCATTTGTTTACCAGTCAGTCGAACCGTTTTTTATCGGTTTGCTTATTTGTGCTCAGGGACGGACCTGTCATGAACGGCAGCCTTCCTGAAACATGCCTTCGAAACGAAAACACCTGTACCGTAAAAGAAAAAAAAACGCGAAAAAGAGATTTTCCCATCCGAAACTTCGTTTCCCCCCTCCCTCAAACCATGCGAACCAAACTTTGTTCCAGATCAAAAGTTTCCCGTATTTCCCTAAAGAAGTTACCCGAAAACTACCTGTTTGGCGGCAGAACCGCAAAACCTGGCCCATCCAGGGGCTCACGCTAGGTCCTAGCCCTATAGTGTCATCAAAACTTTCCTTAGCCTCACGACTTTCATTTCCCTCCGCTGGTCCGGCTTCATTCCCCAAATGGCACAATATCGCATTACATTAAGTGTATTAAAATAATTTCCTTTGTGTCCGTGCCTTCGAGTCCTTGTTCCTGACGATGGGGGAAAGGGAAAGACGACGAAAGTTTTCGGATTTCCTCCAAGACACACGCGAGAGCGAGGGGCCAAAGTGACTCGAACCGTAAGATATCGGAAACGGTTTCGATGGGAGTTTTGTACTGAGAACACACGGCAGCGGGGAGGGGGCGGGCAGAACGGAGAAAAAGTTTACCGGCGCCAGGAATCTGTTTTTATATGCAATTGCGCTGTCTCCGATTGCGACGACGACGACGACGACTAACTCGACGGAGGTGATGGTGGTGCGTGTGCTATTCAGTTAGTTTCTGTTGCGTTGCCCTCTCGTGGGGATGCGTGGGGGACAATCGGGGTGTGCGTAAACTTTTCCAAGTATTTTAATGCTTCCGGTTGACCCGAACGCTGACCGAAGAACAGCCATCCTGCTGTACACTGCTAATGGGGATTAATGGGGTGGTGTTCCGGTCCAAATTGGTGCGGAACCTTGAGGTAGTTGCGCGTTGTAAATATGCGGACACGTTTAATGGTGGTCTTATGTGTTTTTGGATTTTCTTTTTCCGTTCAGTAGGTTTGAGTTTTGTTTTCCAGTAACAGGTAATACACGACCTAGTTGAACCTAGTCATCCATTAGACACACAGAGAGAGAGAGAGAAAGAGAGAGAGCGAATAATAAGAGTTGTTAGCGATAGTAGACTTCTAATCAGCGCAAGTGGAGAAGGTTGAGAAAATGAGAAAAACTTTCCAAATCAAATTGCGAGAGGCGATTTACGACGACCGGAATCGAAGAAATAAGAAAGATGAAGAGCTAAGATAGGGTCGTAATTTTACTTCAATGCAACGGATGCTAAAGAAAACACCCATTTCAAGAACATAACGTATAATTGATCGTAAATGGATGGATAAGATGGATTGTCACACAAAACCCATAAAATTTTTCTTCAATTTTCCTAGAAGTTTCCTTTCATTTTAATTTCCTACATGTTAGTAGAGAGTGGAGATGTTTTGACCGCTTTTGTCTAATGATGCAACTTTGCTTTCTTTTCTCTTTTTACGATTCTCTCATTTCAGTTGATATCACGAACGGACAGCTGACACCAAACAATAATACCCCGCTGCTAACACAGGCTCTATCAGGTGAGTGTGCTTTACTATTATGACAAGCTTAACATAAGCAGGGGATGTCTCCCGATAGCCTAGTTAAATTACAACCAGTCTATCAGAAGACTCTACCCCATCATCAATGTAATCCTTCCCCAGAAGAATATCAAAGAAGAGCCCATCTAATCTGCCGTCTCTTTCTTTTCCCTCCCAATTGACTTCACAGTGATGAACAATTACCAGGCGGCAGCGGCCGCAGCAGCGCAAGGCTTCGGAACACCGGCGTCGCCACACACGACGACCGGGGCGCGGACCGGCTTCACCAACACCAACTCACCCGGACCGACGATCGACATGTACAGCTCGAGCGCGGCGGACAGCGTAGGTTACGTCCAGGCAACAAGCCCCCAGCCGTCCGGATTCCCCACGATCGCCGTCAGCCGTGCGCCGCTGAATTACAGCCCGGTAAGTTCCATTTCCCTTGCCCCACCAACGACCACTTTGACATTCCACTCGAAGCAGACATCGTCCCAGTCTGACAACTTAATATGCAGTTATTTAATTAATATTGCAAAATCACCAAAATCAAAGCTTCAAAATAGCGACAGCAAAGAGATTAGAAGTCTCCCCCAGAAAGCAAATGCCAACCAATCCAACCCGAATTTGTGATGCAAAACGAATGAGCTTTGACTGAATCGTTCCGTTCGTCTGCGTTGTTGCCTGCTGTCGTCATCCAGAGTTGAAACAACGATGCAGCAAGAGAGCAGTATGACCGGTCTGGAATACGGTGGAATTAATTGCGATTGTGGTTGAGACCCAAACCGAGCACGATGGCGACCATCTACGACTTCCCGTCGTAGCGCTTGAAACTACAAAAGGGATTTTCAATTTTCCGTCTGCACAATCCGGATGTCCTAGTCCTGCTAAGCGACATCCTTTCCCGCTGTGTGGGTGTGTGTGTGTGTGCACGCGTTTTGTTCCGAGCTGTCAGAGTGTTCATGTCCGTTTTAGATGACAACGACCCCATTTCCCATTTCCCTTGATAGGTCTCTTTGGTCTCGCTGTTGCTGAAGTTGCGATTTCAATTATGAGCTTTGTCTGTCAACCAACCACCCAAGCTGCCGGTTTTTTTGAGGGCTCCGTTATTGGACTGGAACCAAGATGCGAAATGCAATTCTGCAGACGATATTTTCAGCTACAGGAATCCTCCGAATAGCACGGTGAGTGGTGCCGTCCACCCACCGCAATTTCTCGGCTGTCCTCCATTCAATTGAGGTGATTTTTCAGTACCACCCTCCGCGCTATTCGTGGTAATTCTGTGTTTCAAATACTAAAATGGGTGCGGTGATGGCCGCACTGAATGATGATCGTTGTTTGTGACGATGACATGTGTTTGACAATTAATGTCGTAATGGTTACCGGAATTGCAAATGAAATTCTTCGAATAGTTTGCAGCCTATTTGCATTTGGAATTTGCTTACAGATGCTGGTTTTGGAATATAGAAATTGTAAACGTGTATTTTTACATTTGAGAATGTGAACATATTTCGATTGTAAAATGGCTAGGCGAAGTGACGTCAATTTGTTTTGCTATAGGTACTGCCCATAAACGCATATGTATCTATATGGATTTTCATCAATTTTAAGATAACAACGTTTTCCACTATCAATTGGTATCTACTTTCCTTTTTACGTGATAAAACTACGCACTTTGATCAGGAAAAAAATAAAACAACATCAAATCAGTTTATCCCATTAAGCAAAGTAATCGCATATCAGTCCCATCCAGAAATTCGGTCATCCAGAAGTTAATGATCTGCATTTTGTTTCCCAATATTTTTCACTGATACAACAAAACGTGCAAGCAACAACGTGAAATTTTTTTAATTAATTTGCTGTGATTTTTAAATATTTACATGGAAATTGCACTTCGTAACTTTAGCTTCTACCGTATGCGTGATAATGTTTGCATCATTGAGCAATGTCAAAATTAAAAAAATTCTCAAAAATTTCGTTTTCGAGTTTTTTTTTTATTTATTTAAAGGGGGGATGTTTCTCAGAGTCTTAAACTCTGTTAATCATCGATCGAGTTTCCACCTGCTGCAATTACGGCCTCCACACGCTTCCGGAATGCACGGCAGGTTCTAATAATGTAGTCTGGATCCATTTCTTTCCAGGTACGGGTCAATTTTTGTCTGAGGCTTGCTGTACTCGGGTGGCGTTTAGAACAAGCCTTGGCCTTCATGAGTAATCCAGCGGATTAAGATCGGGGCTGGATGGCGGCCACATATCCTTCGCCCAGAACGGAAGATGTTCCTGCAACCACTTCTGAGTGCGGTTCGAGGTGCAGTGGCACGGGGCCCCATCTTGTTGAAATACAACATTTGACTTCGGACCGTACTGTTCTTTGATCCACGGAAGAACATACTTACTTAAAATCCCGATGTAGACCTCCGTGTTGACCTTGTCGCCTTCTGGAATGAACACCGGGTCCATTGTTTTGCCATCGGAAGCCACCAATCCAAACACCATAACGCTAGCAGGATGCTTGGTCAGATACACGTTCTTGTGCTCGTCGGCCACGTCTTTTACCGGAAGAGAACTAATGTACCGGTCGGTACTGGAATTTGATACGGGATCGACGGTAACAGGATTACCGGATTTTTTCGCTTAAGGAAGTTCAAGATTTTCTTGCATCGTTCGACTTGTAGCTCCTGGATGCGGTTGGTAATCATGTGAGTTTTTTCCGTGCCCTCGACTTCGCCCCGCAATCTTCCTTTACGGTCTTCCGTGCCGTAAAGTCACTGATCCCGTGTTCCTTTGCCATTTTCCTTATTGAACGCACTGGATTCACCCGATTCTTCCTTTTGATAGCAGCGATAACTCTCAGAACCTGAGCAGACCTCGGACGACCTGTGGCCACCTTCACGGAGTTGTCATTTCTTTTCTCGGTCTAAAGCCCTTTTGACGGTCCACCGGGACACTTCCACGGCGATTGAAATGTCTTTTTACGACATTTGCGCATGGAACGAATCACGAATACGCTGCCACTTCGTCATGGTGCAACTGTCAAACTAAGTAAATCATTTTCTTTTATACACAGCCTACTACGGTATGAGCTATAGGTTACGTGCATGCAAAGAAAACCAAGGCATTGTATGCACTAGTGAAACGGGAACCGTATTTGTACGATGGTGCATACATTATCACGAATACGATATTTTCTCAATGCCTTCTATTTCCATATGTATTTGTATTTGTATTTGTACATTGAAAAATTCAACCAACAGTTATTGTCTAAATGAAAACTTAAACTAAATAGTTACGGTCAACGGTGCGGAAAATTCCAAGTAACCGATGATAAAACACGTCAGCTGATACATTGAAGTCGAACATGTAAAAGAAGTTGTTAAATTGCCAGCTGATTGCTCGAATTGGCTCGTGTTGTGTATGATTTTGACGCCTTGGTTCCAAAAACAGAAAGTCGCGTTGACGAAGAGGCCTCTCAGGGGCATTATATTTAGCTAAGCCAGCAATGTTGCACAGTCAATGTCACCAGTAAGCAGCTTTCCAGCGAACATAGCTTCAGCGACCATCCGTCTCACCTCTAATGGTTCAATTCCCAGAAGACGGTGGCGCTCCTCGTACGGTGGCAAGTTTGTTGGGTCACGCCAGTTGAGGAAACGTAGAGCATATCTCACAAACTTGCGTTGGACGGATTCAATTCTAGTGATCCAGCCAGCATGGAGATGGTACCAAACAATTAAACTTGACTCCAATAAGGATCGCACAAGCGAGCAGTAGAGTGACCTGAGGCATACCGGGTCATGGAACTCATCAGCAATTTTGACAATAAAGCCCAATTGTCGATTAGCTCTGGAGATGATGTCATTGTAGTGGATTCGGAAAGTGAGTCTTCAGTCCAAGGTAACGCAGAGGTCCTTAATGTGCTCTACATGAGCAAGACAGCGTCAAACATGATTGGGACATATGGAACATATAGGACTGATATGAGATTATAGACAGCATACCCGAGTAGCACCTGTGACATCTTTTTATAAGAGAGAAAGAGAAACATGTTACACAATTATTACATAAAAGTAACCATGAAATATATGCAGTTACGTATCAAGTCAACATGAAGTTGCCTCATGACTTTCTAAGTAATAGGACACATTAATTTGACACAACGGTCATTGGTAACTCTAAAGTCAGATTGTCATGGTATTGAGATAAAATTCGACTTATCTGGTCTCAACGATGACACAGTGTAACCTTTTTGTGTCGATCTAATGTCAGCAATTGGTTGAACTGTAACTGAGTTGCCACAGTTGCATTTTCGTTTCAGCGTGACCCTAATAGTCGCATGCCTCCAGATGGTAACACATATGCAATCTCTATGTTCTGGGCAAATGAAAGCTGCACTGCCGCTCTAAAATGTTTCACCAATCGCAATCTAATTTGTTGTTCCTTTTTTAATTATCAAAATGGTAAAATATTTAATTCATGGTGATGCAATTGTGAATGCTGAGCCTTAAGGACAAACTAATAGAAACGAGTTTTCTTTATAATCTCAAGTAATGGTTCATATCATGAAACTTTTTGTTAGAGGTGTAACACACAAGATTGTTTTTCCTTCGAATCATTTATGGTCAAAAATATGGTAATCAATTGAAATATAAGATGGCGCATTTATTTTATCAATATAAAACTCCCAACTTCACCGTAAATCTGAAACTGCATTTTTTTTCTCTGTTACGTGTTTTTGCTGCAAATATCTCTAATGATTATATAATTTTATCAACGCCTCAAAATGTTTATGCCATAAAAGTACTCTGTAAATCAATATTCATCGTCGAAATTAAATTAAAGTTAATCACCGTTACAAGTTAACTTATTTGTATGTCATCCAATATTGTTTTGTAACATTGAATTGGTCATATATCAACTCACATCTTGCGCTTTTTTGGTGGATTGCTGTTGCCTTCATGGTTACTGTAATGATTTTACGACACATAATTTGTTCACAAAATAGTTCAGCAACTTTTATGTGACAACATGTGCTACTTGGGTAGGACGCCACTAGATCTAAATTAAAGAAAAAAAATGTAGGGTTGTGTACAAATCACAACCGCATGGTTGACGTAGACTACGTTTAGTTGTTTAGTGAATTTCTCGTGCATTTTTTTGCATAATATGCACGTAATTCATTAAACTCTTATTTCGGTCCTCTGTACATATTTTAGATTTCATACTATAGTTTATGGCATCTTTTTTTTTCTCCTTGCTTTATGCGTTCGTCAATGCAAGAAATGGAAAAAAGTTGCCCATTATGCTCCCTTCTCTCCTAGCTATAGAGAACGGTGGCTTTTCTCAAATCAAAAGTTTGTTTTCCAATAAGTAGATGCTAAGTACAATGATAATTAATCATATTGTCGAGCAGTTTTGGGACGACCTTCTACCAG